GGGGTAGAAGTGAGGGGTAGGGGGGAGGGGGGGGGGGGAAGAGAGTTAGGAAGGGAAGGGGACAAGAAAGCGCCGATAAACATCTACATCAATAGTGCCGACTTTTTCCGATCGTCTAGAAGACCAGGATAGTCGCCTCGCCGCTACATTTCCCCAGCCCGATTTCAAAGCGTACCGGCACAGTCAAATTTCAGATGCTTCGTCTTTGAAGTTGTCTATATGTCTGGCGGTCTCTCGAGCTATAGTCAGTGCATTTTCTCAAAGACGTTTGCCGACTATCGTGTTTGTTTGTAACTGTAGAAGAAAGATAACTCGACCTCCACCTAATTTTTTTTATTTTTTTTATTTTTTTTTAAATAATTTAGCCAGGATTTTTGGGCCCCCAATTGGTCTGGGCCCCCCCGCATTGCGGGATCTGGCGGCACTGTAGTTCCGCCCCTGGTTCAGAGTAATGGACACCAGCGAGAAAAGTCTCAAAGGTATTTGAGAGGTCCATAAATTAATTTAAAAAACTTGCACGGTGTAGTTACAATTAATATGGTTATAAAATCTTGTCTGTCTGGTTTTTTCGGACTTTACTAAAGATTGGATGTATTTGATGTTTTTAATATTTTCGGTAACTAAATAAAAATTAAAAAAAAAAAGCAAAAACTATTTGGTTTTCACGTGTAATGGCGACATAAACAATGGCATCCTGCTAATCGATAGGCCGCCATAAATGTTATTGTACATATTGTAAGCTAAAAATAGAAAAATTAGGTCATGGTGTTTAAATTTGCATTGTTATTCAAAAACTTGATCTGCAAAGTTTTGTAAACAAAATAACTATAAAGTGGGGCTGTTAGAAATCGATCACGGAGTCCCTTTACAGCCAATCAATGTTTGTCTTACGAAAGTGAAACATCGGGTTATAACTTAGGCTTGATAAAAATAAATAGAAATGTAGCCTTAAACTCAACAAATTATTTTCAAGTTCTCTGGATCTGCAACTTGTATAGCATTGATTCTAAGAAGAATATTAAATTTCTGAATTAATTTAAGGCTTAAGTTTTTAATACAATTTTGTCTTTTATTATTTTTATGGTCCTAAATCTTTAAAAAAAGCACATTTTTATTCCATGTCAACAACATTACGGAAGGATTTTCGTCAACTCACTGGTGTCCATTGTGCCCATATTGATTTTTTTATGAATAGTAGGGGCATGCTTTAAGTAGTTTAAAGCTAAAATATTTTAATTCTTAGTAGAGCTATCGTAATTGGTGGCACATAATATAGACCCAGTTTTATTTCAACTATTAGTAGAGCCATCTGTAGAGTAATTGGGCCCAAATTGATTTAATGCAATGTGGGGGTAGGTTCAGGCCATGGTCACCATTAGGAGATTTTCCCCCTCATGAACTGGAAAGAAGGCGTTACCTGGGTTTTAAATTTGGGAAAACACGTCGAAAGTGTAGGATGGGTCTGACATAGCGAAGTGGATGGTTAGACATGGGCCGATGTAGAAGTGTTTTTTTTTAAAGTATTGTCCTTTTGATCGAGTGGACTAGAGATATAAAATGCAAAACATCTCTAGTTCAAGGCACACTTTCACCTGTATTAACTGCACTATAGGAATTTCCAAACAGGCCAAGAGAGAAGAAGCCTATAAATAAAGGCGTTACTGTTGTCCCGCATGGTAATACAAAACCGGATGAGACTATTGTAGGGCATGGCATCTACCCCCCCCCCCCCTCCCCTCTGGTAAATAGAGTTCTTAATTAATAAGTCCTTTTTGTTTATTTGTATGTATCTAAGTTAAGGTACCTAAGAGAATATATTTGCAGCCTATCCTTTAAAAAAATATTATTTATGTGAGATTTATAGAATATATTTGCAGTCTACCCTTTCAAAAAGTATTGTTTACGTGATATTTATTAAGAGTTTAAATCCGTTTATAAAGTAAATTTTCCATTACAGAATTTTAAAAATGCTACACATGAGATAAATGTATTGACAACAAGATGCACAACTACTTAGACATCCACTTTAGATTGCTAACAATCATTAACATCCACTTTAGATTGCTAACAATAATTAACATACACTTTAGATTGCTAACAATCATTAACATCCACTTTAGATTGCTAACAATCATTAACATCCACTTTAGATTGCTAACAATCATTAACATCCACTTTAGATTGCTAACAATCATTAACATCCACTTTTGAATTCTAACAATCATTAACATCCACTTTAGATTGCTAACAATCATTAACATCCACTTTAGATTGCTAACAATCATTAACATACACTTTAGATTGCTAACAATCATTAACATCCACTTTAGATTGCTAACAATCATTAACATCCACTTTAGATTGCTAACAATCATTAACATCCACTTTAGATTGCTAACAATCATTAACATACACTTTAGATGGCTAACAATCATTAACATCCACTTTAGATTGCTAACAATCATTAACATACACTTTAAATTGCTAACAATCATTAACATACACTTTAGATTGCTAACAATCATTAACATCCACTTTAGATTGCTAACAATCATTGACATCCACTTTAGATTGCTAACAATCATTAACATCCACTTTAGATTGCTAACAATCATTAACATCCACTTTAGATTGCTAACAATCATTAACATACACTTTAGATTGCTAACAATCATTAACATCCACTTTAGATTGCTAACAATCATTAACATACACTTTAGATGGCTAACAATCATTAACATCCACTTTAGATTGCTAACAATCATTAACATACACTTTAAATTGCTAACAATCATTAACATACACTTTAGATTGCTAACAATCATTGACATCCACTTTAGATTGCTAACAATCATTGACATCCACTTTAGATTGCTAACAATCATTGACATCCACTTTAGATTGCTAACAATCATTGACATCCACTTTAGATTGCTAACAATCATTAACATCCACTTTAGATTGCTAACAATCATTAACATCCACTTTAGATTGCTAACAATCATTAACATCCACTTTAGATTGCTAACAATCATTAACATCCACTTTAGATTGCTAACAATCATTGTCATCCACTTTAGATTGCTAACAATCATTAACATCCACTTTAGATTGCTAACAATCATTAACATCCACTTTAGATTGCTAACAATCATTAACATACACTTTAGATTGCTAACAATCTTTGACATCCACTTTAGATTGCTAACAATCATTAACATCCACTTTAGATTGCTAACAATCATTAACATCCACTTTAGATTGCTAACAATCATTAACATACACTTTAGATTGCTAACAATCATTAACATCCACTTTAGATTGCTAACAATCATTAACATACACTTTAGATTGCTAACAATCATTGACATCCACTTTAGATTGCTAACAATCATTAACATCCACTCTAGATTGCTAACAATCATTAACATCCACTTTAGATTGCTAACAATCATTAACATACACTTTAGATGGCTAACAATCATTAACATCCACTTTAGATTGCTAACAATCATTAACATACACTTTAAATTGCTAACAATCATTAACATACACTTTAGATTGCTAACAATCATTGACATCCACTTTAGATTGCTAACAATCATTGACATCCACTTTAGATTGCTAACAATCATTGACATCCACTTTAGATTGCTAACAATCATTGACATCCACTTTAGATTGCTAACAATCATTAACATCCACTTTAGATTGCTAACAATCATTAACATCCACTTTAGATTGCTAACAATCATTGACATCCACTTTAGATTGCTAACAATCATTAACATCCACTTTAGATTGCTAACAATCATTAACATCCACTTTAGATTGCTAACAATCATTAACATACACTTTAGATTGCTAACAATCTTTGACATCCACTTTAGATTGCTAACAATCATTAACATCCACTTTAGATTGCTAACAATCATTAACATCCACTTTAGATTGCTAACAATCATTAACATACACTTTAGATTGCTAACAATCATTAACATCCACTTTAGATTGCTAACAATCATTAACATCCACTTTAGATTGCTAACAATCATTAACATCCACTTTAGATTGCTAACAATCATTGACATCCACTTTAGATTGCTAACAATCATTAACATCCACTTTAGATTGCTAACAATCATTGACATCCACTTTAGATTGCTAACAATCATTAACATCCACTTTAGATTGCTAACAATCATTAACATCCACTTTAGATTGCTAACAATCATTAACATCCACTTTAGATTGCTAACAATCATTAACATCCACTTTAGATTGCTAACAATCATTAACATCCACTTTAGATTGCTAACAATCATTAACATCCATATTAGATTGCTAACAATCATTAACATCCACTTTAGATTGCTAACAATCATTAACATCCACTTTAGATTGCTAACAATCATTAACATCCACTTTAGATTGCTAACAATCATTAACATCCATATTAGATTGCTAACAATCATTAACATCCACTTTAGATTGCTAACAATCATTAACATCCACTTTAGATTGCTAACAATCATTAACATCCACTTTAGATTGCTAACAATCATTAACATCCACTTTAGATTGCTAACAATCATTAACATCCACTTTAGATTGCTAACAATCATTAACATACACTTTAGATTGCTAACAATCATTAACATCCACTTTAGATTGCTAACAATCATTAACATCCACTTTAGATTGCTAACAATCATTAACATCCACTTTAGATTGCTAACAATCATTAACATACACTTTAGATTGCTAACAATCTTTGACATCCACTTTAGATTGCTAACAATCATTAACATCCCCTTTAGATTGCTAACAATCATTAACATACACTTTAGATTACTAACAATCATTAACATCCACTTTAGATTGCTAACAATCATTAACATCCACTTTAGATTGCTAACAATCATTAACATACACTTTAGATTGCTAACAATCATTAACATCCACTTTAGATTGCTAACAATCATTAACATCCACTTTAGATTGCTAACAATCATTGAGAAGACAGCATACAACGTACCGTTGACGGATGGTCTCTTCAGGTTCGTCAAGAAAAATGTCGCAGTGGCGGCCATCGCCATCGATTCGGCTCAAATTTCTGACGTCAGGCTCGTAATCAATTCAAGGTCAAGGAAAGATCTCGTGGACGACATGGTAGTAACATTGAATCTTTGACAGTGTCTAGCGTCGTTCAGTGTCTAGCGTCGTTCAGTGTCTAGCGTCGGTCTGTGTCTAGCGTCGGTCTGTGTCTAGCGTCGGTCTGTGTCTAGCGTCGGTCTGTGTCTAGCGTCGGTCTGTGTCTAGCGTCGGTCTGTGTCTAGCGTCGTTCAGTGTCTAGCGTCGGTCTGTGTCTAGCGTCGTTCAGTGTCTAGCGTCGGTCTGTGTCTAGCGTCGTTCAGTGTCTAGCGTCGTTCTGTGTCTAGCGTCGTTCAGTGTCTAGCGTCGGTCTGTGTCTAGCGTCGTTCAGTGTCTAGCGTCGGTCTGTGTCTAGCGTCGTTCAGTGTCTAGCGTCAGTCTGTGTCTAGCGTCATTCAGTGTCTAGCGTCGGTCTGTGTCTAGCGTCGTTCAGTGTCTAGCGTCGTTCAGTGTCTAGCGTCGTTCAGTGTCTAGCGTCGTTCTGTGTCTAGCGTCGTTCAATGTCTAGCGTCGGTCTGTGTCTAGCGTCGTTCAGTGTCTAGCGTCGGTCTGTGTCTAGCGTCGTTCAGTGTCTAGCGTCGGTCTGTGTCTAGCGTCGTTCAGTGTCTAGCGTCGTTCAGTGTCTAGCGTCGTTCAGTGTCTAGCGTCGGTCTGTGTCTAGCGTCGGTCTGTGTCTAGCGTCGTTCAGTGTCTAGCGTCGGTCTGTGTCTAGCGTCGGTCTGTGTCTAGCGTCGTTCAGTGTTTAGTGTCGGTCTGTGTCTAGCGTCGTTCAGTGTCTAGCGTCGGTCTGTCTCTAGCGTCGGTCTGTGTCTAGTGTTGTTCAGTGTCTAGCGTCGGTCTGTGTCTAGCGTCGTTCAGTGTCTAGCGTCGGTCTGTGTCTAGCGTCGGTCTGTGTCTAGCGTCGGTCTGTGTCTAGCGTCGGTCTGTGTCTAGCGTCGGTCTGTGTCTAGCGTCGGTCTGTGTCTAGCGAAGAAAATTTTCCACAAGCATAGGAATATGTTTTAGTATTGATCAAATATGTGAATTTTTAGGTGAACCATAAAGTGGCAATGTGTTATATAATGTCGTTAGGAGTATGTTAATGTGTTTCCTGGTTAGTTGATATAGTGTAGTGTTGTGTGTAGTGGTGTGGGTATTGTTGTGTGTAGTGTTGTGTGTAATGTTGTGTGTAGTGGTATATGTAATGTTGTGTGTAGTGTTGTGTTTAGTGTTGTGTGTAGAAGTGTGTGTAGTTTGTGTGTAGTTTGTGTGCAGTGGTGTTTGTATTGGTGTATGTAGTGTTGTGTTGTGCGTAGTGTTGTGTGTATTGGTGTGTGTAGTGGTGTGTGTAGTGTTGTGTGTAGTGGTCTGTGTAGTGTTGTGTGTAGCGGTGTGTGTAGTGTTGTGTGCAGTGTAGTGTTGTATGCAGTGTTATGTGTAATGTTGTGTGTTGTGTTGTGTGTAGCGGTGTGTGTAGTGTTGTGTGTAGTGGTGTGTTTAGTGTTGTGTATAGAAGTGTGTGTAGTTTGTGTGTAGTGTCGTGTGTAGTGGTGTATGTAGTGGTGTGTGTAGTGTTGTGTGTACTGCTGTGTGTAAAGTTGTGTGTAGTGGTGTGTGTAGTGGTATGTGTAGTGGTATGTGTAGTGTAGTGTGTAGTGTTGTGTGTAGTGGTGTGTGTAGTGTTTTGTGTAGTGTTGTGTGTAGTGGTGTGTGTAGTGTTGTGTGTACTGTGTGTAGTGATGTGTGTAGTGGTGTGTAGTGGTGTGTAGTGTTGTGTGTAGTGTTGTGTAGTGGTGTGTGTCGTGGTGTGTGTAGTGTTCTGTGTAGTGTTGTGTAGTGGTGTGTGTAGTGGTGTATGTAGTAGTGTGTAGTGGTGTGTGTAGTGGTGTGTGTAGTGGTATGTGTAGTGTAGTGTGTAGTGTTGTGTGTAAAGGTGTGTGTAGTGTTTTGTGGTGTAGTGTTGTGTGTAGTGTTGTGTAGTGATGTATGTAGTAGTGTGTAGTGGTGTGTGTAGTGGTGTGTGTAGTGGTGTGTGTAGTGTTGTGTGCAGTGTTGTGTGTAGTGGTGTGTGTAGTGTTGTGTGTACTGTGTGTAGTGTTGTGTGTAGTGTTGTGTAGTGGTGTGTGTAGTGGTGTGTGTAGTGGTGTGTGTGTAGTGGTGTGTGTGTAGTGGTGTGTGTAGTGGTGTGTGTAGTGTTTTGTGTAGTGTTGTGTGTAGTGGTGTGTGTAGTGGTGTGTGTAGTGGTGTGTGTAGTGGTGTGTGTAGTGGTGTGTTTAGTGGTGTGTGTAGTGGTGTGTGTAGTGGTGTGTGTAGTGTTTTGTGTAGTGTTGTGTGTAGTGGTGTGTGTAGTGGTGTGTGTAGTGGTGTGTGTAGTGGTGTGTGTAGTGGTGTGTGTAGTGTTGTGTGTAGTGGTGTGTGTAGTGTTGTGTGTAGTGTTGTGTAGTGGTATGTGTAGTGGTGTGTAGTGGTGTGTGTAGTGTTGTGTAATGGTGTGTATAGTGGTGTGTGTAGTGGTGTGTGTAGTGTTGTGTGTAGTGTTGTGTAGTGGTATGTGTAGTGGTGTGTGTAGTGTTGTGTAATGGTGTGTATAGTGGTGTGTGTAGTGGTGTGTGTAGTGGTGTGTGTAGTGGTGTGTGTAGTGGTGTGTGTAGTGGTGTGTGTAGTGTTGTGTGTAGTGTTGTGTAGTGGTATGTGTAGTGGTGTGTAGTGGTGTGTGTAGTGTTGTGTAATGGTGTGTATAGTGGTGTGTGTAGTGGTGTGTGTAGTGGTGTGTGTAGTGGTGTGTGTAGTGGTGTGTAGTGGTATGTGTAGTGGTGTGTAGTGGTGTGTGTAGTGTTGTGTAATGGTGTGTATAGTGGTGTGTGTAGTGGTGTGTGTAGTGGTGTGTGTAGTGTTGTGTAATGGTGTGTGTAGTGGTGTTGAAGTGTGCGAGAGTGTGTTGCTTGTGGCGGGATGTTTGACCTATTGACGGTCCTTACCTCCTCTGTGAGCCTTGTAACATTGAGTGTCTTCTCACCTCAGATCGGCGTCGATGTAGACAGCAAGTTGCAGACAGAGGAAACGACGTCTTTATTATTTTCGTTAAAGTCGATTCCCCGGGAGAGAAGAGATAAACTCAAGATGGCAGTTTTCACTGTCTTCCCCTCTGGAGTACTTTTTGCAGTAAGTTCTCAAGATCAGAAAATCGGACATATTTCTAGAAATTTAAAATGTTATAATGAATTTATTCCTAGACGAAAATGAAGTTATAGGCTATTCGAATTTAAACCACACTATACAGCCCCAAAAGGACCAAGTTCCGCTAGTTAGCGTTTCTTTTAAACAAACATCAAGGTAGGAGGTGTAGACATGCCGCGTAGCATCCCCTCCCCACACGGAGATATACCTTTAAGGAACTTTGCACTGAACGTACCGGCAACCAGAACGCAAGCCTGCCTGAACCAATTGTTTGAGTAATACGAAAACTTACTGCACAGTAATGCATTGTTAGTTGCTTTAATAAATAAATAAATAAATAAATAAATAAATAAATAAATAAATAAATAAATAAATAAATAAATAAATAAATAAATAAATAAATAAATAAATAAATGAATGAATGAATGAATGAATGAATGAATGAATGAATGAATGAATGAATGAATGAATGAATGAATGAATGAATGAATGAATGAATGAATGAATGAATGAATGAATGAATGAATGAATGAATGAATGAATGAATGAATGAATGAATGAATGAATGAATGAATGAATGAATGAATGAATGAATGAATGAATGAATGAATGAATGAATGAATGAATGAATGAATGAATGAATGAATGAATGAATGAATGAATGAATGAATGAATGAATGAATGAATGAATGAATGAATGAATGAATGAATGAATGAATGAATGAATAAATAAATAAATAAATAAATAAATAAATATATGTATATATGTATATATGTATTTATGTATATATATATATATATATATATATATATATATATATATATATATATATATATATATATATATATATAATATATATATATATATATATATATATATATATATATATATATATATATATATATATATATATATATATATATATATATATATATATATATATAGTATCCATATCACGTGTCGTGCTTTTTAATTGCATCGCAGTGTCTTATTATAAGTAATAGAGTAGGTTTTGTTTATATAACGACTTAAATTTATTTTATAGTTGCCACTGTTGCATAACGTAAAGAAAATATTAAATACACGCACATTGCTAAAACATATTAAACGGATCAATGTCAAATATAATTTTTGTTTAGATTTCTAGAAAAAGTGGATACATTTTAATAATAATAGGGTCGAAAAAAAATATTAATCAAGCTGTTTTGTAATTTTGCAAAGGGAAGTAATTTAAAAATAAATTTAAATTACGATAATAAAAAAAATGTGAATGCAAAAATCTTCAAGAGCGAATTATTGTTGGAATAATATAATTAGCAAAATGTGAATGCAAATTCTGTAGACGTGTAAGAGGACATTATTGTTGGAATATTATAATTAGCATGGATTGATAAAAGTCTATCTTTTATTTATTTTATTCACTGAACGTACTGCCCAATGATAATTGCTAATCAACTATTCCGCAACATTATATACGTGTCATCACGTTCATTAGGTGCGCAATGGTTTAAGTCATGAAACTCTATTGTGAATTTTTTTAAATTTAAAGAACAGGAAAAATAATTCGGGAGTGATCTCCCCTAAACTTTCTCGAATATTCTTATATAACGCTACGTGGGATGGCAACTCGGAATATAGACATGCTTTTTAATTACTTAAACTTTTAAAAATAGAATAGAATCTCGTAGAAAGAATAATTGCGCACCAAGCGAACGCCAAAACAAAATGTGCATATTAATAGTACTTTATACATTTACATGCGTTTTTTGAGAAATCGGAAATAGCGTATATTATTACTTTTGGTCAACGGAAATTACTGAAAATGTGATAGAATGTAGAGAATTAGATCTTTTACTTACATGTGAAATTTCATTTATCTATCTGAAATAGTACTCAAGTTATAGGCTTTTGAAAAATTCAAAATAGAAAAAGTACCACTTCCGGTTATCGGAAATCGCTCAAAAGTTGATACCTAGCTGTAACGGTACTCAAGTTATCGTGTTTCCAGACACACAGACAGACAGACACACACATACACACAGACATACGGAAAAGATTGCAGAAATATGTTTTTCCGACTCAGGGAGGTGTAAAACGTCGAGATTTCTAAAAATCTCGAATTTTTTTTTACACGATTACAAGACTTTCTCTATATTACGTGTATATGAGAAAGTAAAAAATGCATGAATTGATAAAGTGCTATATGGTAGTTAAAACACGGATATTTTAAATACTGCCTTTTATTTATTTTATACACTGAACGTACTGTTTACTAATTATAATTTTTAATCAACTATTCCGCACTTTTTTTACACGCGTCATCACGTTCATTAGGTACGTAATGGTTTTACTCATGCAACTCTAATTCTTATTCTATCTTTCGATTTGCGGACAAGCTGGGGTTTGTATAGTCATTCACTAAATCAGGCGCGTCCGCCGGCGGTATGTTTTCTTTTGTGTTCCCAAGTTGGTATATTGAAAAAAGATTTACCGTGACGGAGCACGGGTATGCAGCTTCTGTGTTTGTGTTTTCTTCTGTATCAGTGGCGTGCAGAGGGGAGGGGGGGGGGGGGGGTGGCGGACGGGGCATAGGCCCCGGGCATCCACTCCAGTAGGGGGCATCCAACAAAGGATTTTCTTTGTTTTTTTTTTTATTTAAAACAAGTTGAGATGTATTTCGTCATTTTAATTATTATTATTATAGGCCAATCTCACTTATTACCAAATGTAATACTCAATCGTCTAGCCCTCGTTTTAACATTTTACTGTCCGAATAGCAAGACTTTTATAGAAATAGCGGGCATTAGTGAAGGGTAGTCCTATGGTGGTCATTAATATTCCCTCAATAAATGTGTTATATTTATTTATTATATGTAGGGGCATCTTTAAAGTAAATTGCCCATATTTGTTTCACTAATTTTCAAAGACATCCGTAAAATAATTATATCCATATTTATTTTTATACACTGTAGGGGGATTCTTTAAAACAGTTATTCGTGTATTCATTAAATTATACGTTGAGGGCATCCAGCAGTATGCCCACTTCACTTTAAAATACATTTAAAAGGCATCCATTTAGTAAGTATACCCATTTTCACTTTGTATACTGTAACGGCATCTTGAAAGTAATTATGCTTATATTCCTATAATTTATTTGAAGTGAATCTAGCATTAATTATACCCATCATCATCTAACGTTGGGGGCATCTCTAAAGCTTTTTTGTACATGTTTACTATAATACATTTAAGGCATCGAACGGGTAATTATGCCCGTATTATTGTTATACATTTTTGGGGCATCTTTGGTGAAATATACGGCCCTTTGTAGTGTCATAACGCCCATACTGTTTCTGTTAAATTGTAGGGGCATTGAAATTTAGAACGTATTCATTTCGATGCATTATATGAGCATACTTAAGAATAAGAAAGCACATACTGTTAGGACTTGCTCAAGAATAAACATCAACATATTGTTTTTGTTACATATTAATAATATAGTTTAGAGTAATTGTGCCAATATTGACTTTTTATGAACAGTAGGGGCATGCTTTAAGTAGTTTAAATCTAAAATATTTTAATTCTTAGTAGAGCTATCTTAATTTGGGCCACATAATATAGACCCAGTTTTATTTCAACTATTATTAGAGCCATCTGTAGAGTAATTGGGCCCAAATTGATTTAATGCAATGTGGGGGTAGGTTCAGGCCATGGTCACCATTAGGAGATTTTCCCCCTCATGAACTGGAAAGAAGGCGTTACCTGGGTTTTAAATTTGGGAAAACACGTCGAAAGTGTAGGATGGGTCTGACATAGCGAAGTGGATGGTTAGACATGGGTCGATGTAGAAGTGTTTTTTTTAAAGTATTGTCCTTTTGATCGAGTGGTCTAGAGATATAAAATGCAAAACATCTCTAGTTCAAGGCACACTTTCATCTGTATTAACTGCACTATAGGAATTTCCAAACAGGCCAAGAGAGAAGAAGCCTATAAATAAAGGCGTTACTGTTGTCCCGCATGGTAATACAAAACCGGATGAGACTATTGTAGGGCATGGCATCTACCCTCCCCCTCCCACACACACCCGACATGTCCCCCAACTGTCTCGCCGCCCCGATGTTTCACCTATTAAAACATTTGAGTAGTGAATTCCTTGGAATTTAGCCGTAGTTAATGTTTCCGTCTTACCAAGTAAATTTCTTTTAAAAATGCTTTGCTATTTGTATTAATTTTAATTTTTAATTAAGCTTTATATACATATATATATATATATATATATATATATATATATATATATATATATATATATATATATATATATATATATATATATATATATATATATATATATATATATATATATATATATATGGGGGGGGGGCATTTTCCTCTTGAGCTGTCCCCGGGCATCTACATAGGTCTGCACGCCACTGGTCTGTATACCGTTTAAATAGAGTTATGTAAGCAAACCTCCACCGGGTGAAAAAGCGACCAAAATATTTTTCAACCCCCCCCCCCCCCGCCACTCCACCATCAATCCAGAAAGCGATAAATGTATAGCCCTGCATGGAACGGACAGGCATTTGCGGTGACGGGGTCCGTTTGAATAGCTTGTAGGGGCTGGTGGGTTGGAGAACAGTAGGCTTAACGAAAATTAATTCGTTTAAAACAAAAACAAGTGAAAACTAGTAGACTATATTTTCCCCAAAGTTACATATGGCTGTTGGTAGAGTCTTAAGCCCATGCAGTCGTGATATTATTTGAAAATTTTTGGCTTCCAGATGGTAGGTACACAGTGGAACATGCCACCGCACGCCAATTGCTCTAATCTATTGTTGTTGTTTTAACCTTAGCTTTTATAATATATTGTTATTCTTATTGGGTCTTAATTAGGTATTAATAATTTTTGTTTGATTAAGTTCCAGTTCAAGACTAAAGAAATTAATGTTTGTATTTATTGTAATATTTGCTGATGAAGGGACGGACA